GCCTTAGGCCCAGCTGGTCAAGGACCGGCACTCAGCCCTGCGGCTGGAGAGCCTGTACTCCGACGAGGAGGACGAGTCTGCAGCTGGGGCTGACAAAATCCAGATGACGTGGACACGGGACAAGTACATGGCAGCTGAGCCCTGGGACCCCAGCCATGCCCCTGACAATTTTCGGGAGCTGGTGCATATTAAGCCGTGAGTGCAGCAAAAATGAACCCACCCACGCTGGAGTCTGGGCATGGACGTGGGCTGGGGGCGGACAAGGTCTTCGGGTAGGCCAGACGTGGGGCCTGTGATCAGTTCCATTACCTGCAGGGACCAGTCCAATGTGCGGCGCATGCACACGGCTGTAAAGCTCAATGAAGTCATCGTCACACGTTCCCACGATGCCCGCCTGGTTCTACTGAACATGCCTGGCCCCCCCAAGAACAGTGAAGGTGATGAGAACTGTATCCTTTTGGGGAGGCAGTAGTGGGGAGGTGGATAATGCATGAGGTGAGGCTAGGAGCTCCTCTCCTTAGATGCCCCCAGGGGGTGCCGGGTTACCCCAGGTTTGATTAATGGGCCCGATTTCCCTGGGTGCCCCTTGGTGCTGCCTCCTTGACCTGGTGCCCTACAGACATGGAGTTCCTGGAGGTGCTGACCGAGGGCCTCGAGCGTGTGCTATTGGTGCGTGGAGGCGGTCGTGAAGTGATCACCATCTACTCTTGAGCTGGCTATACGCTTACGGCTTAGAGTGGAGGTGTCCAGGGTACCAGCCCCCTCCCAACACCAAGCCGGCAGCCCTGCTTTGCCTGGACCTGTCCTGGACCCAGCTTTGCTAGGTCTCCTTGGAGACCTGACCTGGGCTGGTAACAGAGATGGATCCAAGCTTCTGCAGGACCCTGAGAGGTGTGGGGACTTCCCCCACCCAGCACCCCAGGAGGCCTGTCCTGGCTGGAGAAGACTGGGGGAGGGCTGATGCGGGATTTGAAGGCAGCCTGCCCAGGAACGCTATTTATTGCATATTTATTGTTCGGATGTCACCATCAGAGAGGAGGAGGAGGGCCACAAGGGACGGGGTCTGGCCTAGCCCACCTGCTGGAAGACCTGGCTCAGGCTGCTGTGGGCAGGGACCCCATCAAGCCAGGCTGAATGGAACTGGCCAGCTGGGGCCTGACTTTTTTCAATAAAACATTGTGTACTTCTGGGCCTCCTGCTGCCCCGGCTCTGTTTCCCCTGGCACCAAGGGAGGAAGGCGGAACTGAAACCAGGCCCAGAGCTGGCTCCCTGAGGCTATGCCCCTTTGCAGCAATCTCTAGCCACCCCCATTGGCCAGGGTGTCCCTCCCACTGGCCTTAGAGCCCCTCCCACCTCCACTCTAGATAAGGCCAGCCCAGGACCGCTTCACTGGGCAATAGGCACTAGGGCTGGAATGGGGCCGCCGGGCTCCCCATGGCAGTGGGGGCTGCTGCTGCTGCTGCTCCCCCCTGCCACTCCCTTCTGGCTTTTCAATGTGCTCTTCCCCCCGCACACCACGCCCAAGGCTGAGCTCAGTAACCACACACGGCCCGTCATCCTCGGTAAGCCCCCGCCAGGCCCCTGAAGCGCCAGGCCAGACCTCAGGGAGCCTGGGTCCCAGCCCCCTGGTAGCAGACCTGCCAAGGCCCGTCTGCCCCTGCATCCGCCCGGATATCTGCTTCTGTGTTTGAGGGTCCAAATGCTTCTGCAGAGAAATGAAGCCCTTCCCCCACCACACTGGTCAGGCGTCCCTGGGCCCTCTACCCAGGCGGGTGGAGTTGGGGGCGGGTGTGCCTGAGGGCTCAGCCAGGGCATTACGGCCGCTCAGCCCCCACCCCAGCAAGGATAAGCCCAGCCCAGCAAAACAAGAGGCCCATCAAGGCCTGCCTCCTACTCCTAGGCCCAGGCCCCACTCCCCTATACCTATTTGTTCTCACCTTGGACTTCGGCATTAATTGGAGAGCCAGGCTAGATATTTGCCTTTTGGGGACAGGGGTCAGTGGCCCTGGCCCCGCACCTTCCTTGCCTGAGGGGAACCTGGGCTCTGGGTTGCTGGGGGGAGAGGGTGCTGGGTTGTGATCGGAAAGGACCAAGTCCTTAGTTCCTGGAGGTGGACGGTGTGGGAAATGAAGGGGTGGAGCCGGGCCTGGAGTGAGCAGCGGAGGGCGGGGGTGGAATCCAAGGAATTCAGAATGAAGGCTAGTGCCCACAGTGCCTGGCTGCCTGGGGAATCAGCTGGAAGCCAAGCTGGATAAACCAGATGTGGTGAACTGGATGTGCTACCGCAAGACAGAGGAATTCTTCACCATCTGGCTGGATCTCAATATGTTCCTACCCCTTGGAGTGGACTGCTGGATCGATAACACCAGGTACCTGCTGTCCCCTCTGCCTGGGCCCCCACACTGCCCCTGGGCTGCTGGCCGGCTGAATGGCCCCCTGCCCCCAGGGTTGTCTACAACCGCAGCTCTGGGCGTGTGTCCAATGCCCCTGGTGTAGAGATCCGCGTCCCTGGCTTTGGGAAGACCTACTCTGTCGAGTACCTGGATAACAACAAGCTGGCAGGTGAGTTCAGTGGGGGAAAGGGCAGGGCTCCAGCTGCCATTGGTGTCCCAGAGCCTCCCGTGCCGCTGCCTTCCCACAGGTTACATGCACACACTGGTGCAGAATCTGGTCAACAATGGGTACGTGCGGGACGAGACGGTGAGGGCCGCCCCCTACGACTGGCGGCTGGAGCCTAGTGAGTGTCTGTGGGGAGTGGGCTTGGGGCAGGGCAAGTGGGCCCCCGACCCCCACGGCCCTGACCCCACCCTGACCCCACCTGTCCCGTTGCAGGCCAGCAGGAAGAATACTACCGGAAGCTCGCTGGGTTGGTGGAGGAGATGCACGCTGCCTATGGGAAGCCTGTCTTCCTCATTGGTCACAGCCTCGGTTGCCTACACTTGCTCTATTTCTTGCTGCGCCAGCCTCAGGCCTGGAAGGACCACTTCATCGATGGGTTCATCTCTCTCGGGGCTCCCTGGGGGGGTTCCATCAAGCCCATGCTGGTCTTGGCCTCAGGTGAGAGGGCCTCACACCACATTGACACCATATGTCAATGAAAGGACTGGGGTTGGGGGAATGAAGCTGACCACGGGCCTGCCCTCACTCCTGCTTCTGCTCACGGTGCCAGGCTGAGGGTATTATTTACCATCCCTAAGGCATGGCCCCTGTCACTGGCCCCTGAGAGCCGTAAGCCCGGCCCGACCTGGTGACTCCTGCCAGAAATCTGTGTTGGTGACAAAAGGAAAGTAAACAGAGAGGAAATGAATCCCAGCAATCTGACACATGGGCCTAGGTCTCTGTTCCTTGTGGTCTCAGGGCCTGCCCACTTAGCTTTTAGCTGCCATCTACTTCCAGGAGCTTCCAGGTGTTTTCCAGGGATCTGCCTATGGAGGACAGATGTGCCCAAGCCAGGGCCAGATCCTAAAAGCCCCTTTGCCCTTCGCTGAGAAGTGGCACAGCTACCACCTGTTGAGCACTAAGTGTAGGCTGGGCAGAGCCAGACTCCACCTTCCTCCCAGGAGCGTACAGTCCCTGAGGGAAATACTCATCAGACTATGTCAATAAATGCCAAACACAGACACAGTCTACCTTCATCCTTCCCAAGGACACAGCTCTGACCCCTGTCACATAGCTCTGGGCCACAGGGGCCAGCAGACACCTGGCTGAGGGAGAACCACCAGCACCATCTACACACACACACAGCCATCTTCAGGAAACCAGCCCCTAGAGGCTATTCAGCTCTGCTCTACAGACGTGCCCTCAGGGCTTCCCATTTAATAAGCACACATTGAACATCTACTGAATGCCAGGCCTGCTCAGAGTCTGTGGCTTGGAATCAGTGTTTGGATTGGGCAGGGGCAAGCTTGAGCATCCAGCTGAGACTGGGGTGGGAGGCATGTTGTGGGCCAGAGGCAGCCAGACCTGGCTCCCTGACCCCCCTGCTTCGTGTTCACAGGTGACAACCAGGGCATCCCGATCATGTCCAGCATCAAGCTGAGAGAGGAACAGCGTATAACGACGACCTCCCCCTGGATGTTTCCTTCCAGAGAGGCATGGCCCGAAGACCATGTGTTCATTTCCACGCCCAGCTTCAACTACACAGGCCGTGACTTCCAGCGCTTCTTTGCAGACTTGCACTTTGAGGAAGGCTGGTACATGTGGCTACAGTCACGTGACCTACTGGCAGGACTCCCAGCACCCGGCGTGGAAGTATACTGTCTATATGGTGTGGGCCTGCCCACACCCCGCACCTACATCTTTGATCATGGCTTTCCCTACACAGACCCCGTAGGGGTGCTCTATGAGGACGGTGATGACACCGTAGCCACACGCAGCACTGAGCTCTGTGCCCGCTGGCAGAGCCGCCAGCCACAGCCTGTGCACCTGCTGCCTCTGCATGGGACAGAGCACCTCAATATGGTCTTCAGTAACCAGACTTTAGAGCACATCAATGCCATCCTGTTGGGTACCTACCGACATAACACCCCTGTACCCCCAGCTGCCAGCCCAGGGCCTCTGCCCCCTGAATAAAGACCTTCTTTTGCTCTCTAAGCCTTGACGTGTATTGTGGGTTGGGGAGGAGGCACTAGTGTCCACATAGCAGGCCTCACTGAGCAGTAGCCATAGGCCTGGTGCTTTGTGGAATATAAGGGCAGGATGGACTTCGGTGAAGCCTGGGCTTGAACTGGGAACCCTGAGATGTCTAGCTTCCCACTCTCCTGGTTGAGCTGTTGATGTAGCCTGCCTCTGCTTGGGGGATGGGGGACTAGAGGTAGCTGCACAAACAGCTGTGGGATGGAGGCATTTGGAGCCAAAGTGCAGGGCAGGGAAGATGTGAGCTGTCCTGCCCACTCTCAAAAGGGCAAATGGATTCCACCTCTAGACAGGGTCTTTTTTTTTTTTTAATTTTTTAATTTATTTATGATAGTCACAGAGAGAGAGAGAGAGAGAGAGAGAGAGAGACGCAGAGACATAGGCAGAGGGAGAAGCAGGCTCCGTGCACCGGGAGCCCGATGTGGGATTCGATCCTGGGTCTCCAGGATCGCGCCCTAGGCCAAAGGCAGGCGCCAAACCGCTGCGCCACCCAGGGATCCCGGTCTTTTTTTTTTTTTTTTAAGGCTTATTTATGATGGGGCAGTGGAGGGCAAAGATGATCTCAAGCAGACTCCCCACTGAGCTCAGAGCCCACCGCAGGGCTCGATCCCACAAACCATGAGCCAAAATCACAAGTCAGATGCTCACCTGAGCCACCCAGGAGCCCCCCCTAGACAGGGCCTTTTGAGGGCTAAGTGGATATCAGAAGCACAAGAGTTTTTAGAATCTGAGGGAGAAACAGCCCTAATCAGATCATTTCTCTAATGATGGTGTAATTAAGGGAACTAAGAGGTCTGAGAGAAAAGTTTAGGGAGCACCAAGGGGCTGAGTCTTGGGGGGTCAGGGAAGGCTGCCCAGAGGGGATGGTGCCTATTCTGAGATCAGACGGGATGAGAAGGGTCATGTGGGCCGCTATAACTTTTTTTTTTTTTTAAGATTTTTTAATTTATTCATGATAGAGAAAGAGAGAAAGAGAGAGAGAGAGAGAGAGAGAGAGAGAGAGAGAGAGGCAGAGACACAGGAGGAGGGAGAAGCAGGTTCCATGCCAGGAGCCTGACATGGGACTCGATCCCGGGACTCCAGGATGGTGCCCTGGGCCAAAGGCAGGCACTAAAGCGCTGAGCCACCCAGGGATCCCCTATAACTTGGGTTTGAACCTAAGAACAATAATGCAGTTGCTGAGGGGGTTAACCAGATTTTCAATCTAGGAGACCCTTCTCTGGAAGGTAAAGCTAGCCCAAGGCGGGGACTGAGGAGCGGGAAGCTTGGGGAAGCCAGGAAAGGCAGTGCGGCATCCAGAGGGGACTGGATGCTCACCGAGACTACCGCGGTAGTTAGGAGAAAGCTGTCAATAGATAAAGGGTCATTTGGGAAGTGAAATAAGGCTTGGCCACAGGTAGAGCCCAGCATGCCTCCAAGCCACAAGATGGGCAGCCCCACAGCACCCCTCTTGTGAGAGGGAAGACAGCACCCGAGACACGGAAGGTCACCATGTGTCACCACGTGTCACCACGGTGGATAGAGCCTTGGTGTTTCAGATTTCAGGGAGGAGGCGAAGGCAACAAAGAGCTGAGGGAGAGAGGGCGCCAAAGGACAACAGGCAGCCATGCCTGATGCTGTCGGGAGGTCAGGACTAGACACCTGGCCAGTGTGACAGCCTCAGGATTGAGGGACTTGACGTCAGAGCTGGGATCGGGATCCGCAAAGCTAGGGCTCAGGCTGGAAGGCGGAGGAGCTGCTAACATCCCCCGACCCAGGCCTGACCCAGATGGAGCTGTCTGTCCCTCTGTACAGACTGAGGACTAGGGAGCAGGATGGAAAGCCAGGCGAGGACACCTCCCCTTTGACAAGCTGCCTGGGACCAGAGGCAAAGGTGAAAGTGAAAGAAGATGCAGAAAGGGGCCAGCCAAGCTCAGGAAAGGTGAAAGCGAAACCAGGAAGCCCCGGACCAGCCAGGCGGGTGCGGGACAGAGGACCCGGCTTGGGCCTTTCTTGCTCTGCGCTGGTCGCACAGAGACCCCCAACCCCTGGACCACCCTGCCCACCTGGAGATGCTGAAGCTGGCGTTAGAGCCCCAACGGGGCTTCTCCTTCGAGAACTGCCAGAGGTGATGGGGGTGATGGTCTAGAGCTGAGCTGCTATGCTCTCCTCGAAGGCCTCGGGCACCGACACTCCGGGGCCTTTATTCCTGGTGGGGGCGGAGGGGCGGCGGGGTGTGTGGGGCGACGTGGGTTGCCAGGCTCCCGCCCCTAGAGGCGGACGAGGCCGGGACGTAGTTGGAGGATGTGATGCGGCCCCAGAACCCCAACCTGGGCCACTCCACTCCACTCCGTTTCCAGAAACGCATCCTTAGAACGCGTCCTCCCGGGGTTCCGGATCCCTCATGCACACAAGACCGGAACCACCATCGCGGGCCTCGTGTTCCGAGTGAGCAGGGACTTGGGCCTGGGGGCTTAGAGGGGCTGCTGGGGGATCCAAAGCCACTGGGCCAGCGACCCTCTCCCACCAGGATGGAGTCATCCTGGGCGCGGATACGCGGGCCACTAACGACTCGGTCGTGATGGATAAGAACTGCGAGAAGATCCACTTCATCGCCCCCAAAATCTAGTGAGAAATCCCCAACCCCGACCCCCTACTCAAGACCAAGCCTGCGGCCGCCGCCCCCCCCCCGCCCCCGGCCCCTGCTTCTCCGAGCCCCACCCACACCGAGCCTCCACTCGTTCTCAGCTGCTGTGGGGCTGGAGTAGCCGCGGACGCCGAGATGACCACGCGGATGGCGGCGTCCAACATGGAGCTACACTCCCTGTCCACGGGCCGCGAGCCCCGCGTGACCACGGTCACGCGCCTTCTGCGCCAGACCCTCTTCCGGTGCTGGGGCGGGGCTCAGGCGGCCCCGGGGACGGGCGCGGCCGGGGGGCAGGACTGAGGGGAGCTGGGCAGGGCGGGGGGCGGGGCGGCCAGAGCCGGGACCGGAAGGGGCCGCCCCAGGAGGAGCCGGGGGCCGGAAGCAGCGGCGCTGCCCCGGGCGCCACCACAGGAAGGGGCGGGGCCTGGAGGCGGGCTGACCACGCCCACTCCCCACCAGGTACCGGGGCCACGTGGGCGCGTCGCTGCTGGTGGGCGGGGTAGACTTCTCGGGACCGCAGCTCTACAGCGTGCACCCCCACGGCTCCTACAGCCGGCTGCCCTTCACCGCCCTGGGTGAGCGCTTCTCCCCTTTCCCTGCCAGGCCTGGCCCTGCGGCCCTGGCCTCGCGTTCGTCCCGCGACTGGGTGGCCACGACCGACCTGACCTCAGATGCCTCTCCTGCCCGCAGGTTCCGGCCAGGACGCCGCGCTGGCGGTCCTGGAGGATCGGTTCCAGCCGAACATGACAGTGAGCAACACCTGTCTGTCCCCCACTACGTGTTCACTGACGGGAAGCGCACGCGGGAGTTGGGGTAACACACAGGGATCCTAGTAGAGGTCAGGGAGGGCTTCTTGGAGGAGGTGACGACTGAGTGGAGGCTGAGGGGCCAGTGGAATCAGAATGAAGTAGTGCTATTCCAGCAGACGATCATCAGCGCCAGAGTTTGAACTGCCTGGAGAAGTCAAAGCTCAGGACCATGTGAAGCTGAGGGAGGAGGGAACGGCAAGTGGGGTCTGGAGTCCCGATTCTGTTTGAGGTGGGATGGAAGTGGATGACAGGTGTTGCTTCAGAGGCGCCTAAGGCCCGGAAGTGAAAGAGCAGTGAGCTGGTAGTTTGGGGACCGAGACGCATTGGTTGGGGGGGACAATCCTGGAAGCAGAACCGTAAGTGTAAGAGAAATTTGTGAACATGGGGCAGTGAGACAGTCTCTGGAGAGAACGAGGCAGAGGCCAGGGCAAGGGGTCTGGGTAGGAGCAAATGGTAAATAGTCTGGGCTTTGAGATGAGCAGAAACCTGTAGGCTGTAGGCTGAAGGGCGCCAGCAGGGTCCGGCAGGTCTCCCCCACACGTATCGTCACAGCTAGAGGCTGCGCAGGAGCTGCTAGTGGAAGCCGTCACTGCTGGGATCCTGGGTGACCTCGGCTCCGGCGGCAGTGTGGATGCATGTGTGATAACGGGGACCGGCGCCAAACTTCTGAGAACGTTAAGCTCCCCCACAAAGCCCACAGAAAGGTGGGAACTTGGGAAATGGGGAGACCACTGGGGAGGATGGGGCAGTAGCAGGGCAAATGGGGGACTGCAAGATGGACTATATGATGGGCCCAAATTGAGAGGCTGTCCCTCCCCTCTCCCAGACCCAGCCAGTACTACTTTGCCCCTGGGACAACAGCAGTCCAGTCCCAGACAGTGAAGCCACTGACCCTGGAGCTGCTGGAGGAAACTGTGCAGGCAATGGAGGTGGAGTGAAGTGGGATGATGCTTAGGGCTTGGAACAAGGAGGAATAAACATAGAAAATAGAAAAAACACCTAAGCAGATGGCTGTGTCGTTCCTGGGTGGAGAGAGGACAAGCAGCCATCAGGACTCTGGCTAATGTACACCTGCAGATGCCACTCCCTGCCGTGGCTCCAGTGCCTGGCCTAACAGGTGGCTTCACCCATCACCTCAGGCATCTACTCCTCCAGAACCCCAGCCCTAGCAAGCACGGCAGCTACAGGAGGGGAGCCCCCTCCCGACTCCACACTGCAGAGGTCCCCTGCTGCTCCAGTGCCTTGCTCTTGCCCTCTAGTCCACCGGGGAATGTTGTGAAACCCAGAAGGCCCCCTGCACTGCCCCCGCCTAGAGTCTTTACCTGGGTCATCAGCGTCCCACAGCAAACCCCACATCCCTCGGTCAAGGACGGCCCCGTGGAGCTCACTGAGTCAGCCCTGAGTATTGGTAAAGGAGCTGCTCCCTGACTCCAAGGGCAAGTTCTCACAGAACACTCCTCCCCGCTGCAACACCTGTACCCGTGGAACCCCTCCCTTGACCAGGCACACCCTGAGGTGCTAACACCAGACAGGCCTTCTATTTGAACGTGCTGAGCTGTGACCGGGCGGGGGTGGGGGGGTGGGGGACTCCTAAGTTTGCTGGGCTGACAGGAGTTCTAGAGCTCATGCAGAGAGAGATGACATGACACATTTATCCAGCAGACCTTTGCTGGGCACCCACTGAGGGCCAGCCTAGGTGCCATGTACAGGCAGGAGCATCCTGCCTTCAGAACAGCTGTTTCCACCCGAGCCTCGGAACTGTTAGAATCTGCCCAAGCCCTGGGGAGCATCTCCTCTGAGCTGGACATCCCCGGGCCACTGATTGTGCCCCCTCACACCCAGTATTTTATTATGAAGATTTTTAAACATAGAAGCTGAAAGAACTGCATTGAACACATGTATACCCACAACTGACTTTACAATTATTGTTATATTTGCTTGATCACATTTCTATTCCTCCATCCCTCTGTTCAACCATTAACTCATCTTATTTTTTGAAGTTTGGAGTCCCTTGGTGCCCCCACACCCCCTAGGAGCCCAGCCAACTTACCCACTGCAGCTTTGCACGCAGGGCTGTCTTCTCTTCCTCAGTGCAGGCTCAGCCTTGAACTCTATAACAGATGGGCTGTGGACACCAAGAGCTTGCCCACAGGAGCCCGAAGGCCTGGAGGCTGTCAGAGATTTGGTGGCTGTCACCCTTGCATCCATAACCTCCATTCAGGGTCAGCCAGTCACCAAGGGCTCACACCTTACCCTCCTCTCAGGGTCCCTCTCAGGTGTCCTCTCATCAGTAAGTGTGGGCTTCAGAGCTAGATGAAATTTTGGGTCCAGACACACTGTGCTGGTAGGAGAGATACCATCTCTCTAGGAAAACTGACTCCTGTTCCAGGTTGGTGAGAAATCACTGAAATGCTGTTAGGATTTGGGACCTGCTGGAACCCCCGTCCTGGCTGCATGGCCTTGGCCCTCCACAGCAGAGCTGGCACAGCTGGACATTCCTTCCACCCATCAGAAACACCCCTGGGCGCTGAGTAGGCTTCTATGAGTCTGGTGCCCCAGCCAGCCCTGAGACACTTCCCTGATCCCAGCCACCAGGCAGTCCACACAAGTCCTTGCTACTTAGCACATACTTAGGGATGTGAGGTGGTTCAAGGAGCCAATCAGAGACCAGGTTTTGGGGGAGTGGAGATGAGAACCTCACACCTGGGCTCTGTCTGATAAAGCCCAGGCCTGGGTCCAGGACCTTGGCCTAGAGGATCTCCTCCTGACCAAGGCCTCAGGCCTGGGACTTTTGCCCAAGGACAAAGAGAACCATAAAAGCAAGGCTCAGCTCTTAGCCTCATGCCTGCCACAATGCTGCTGCTCAGTCTGACCCTTAGCCTGGTCCTCCTCGGCTCCTCCTGGGGTGAGTGGGCCTGGACTAGCCCTGATGACCAGCTCTAAAGCAACCTGGCTCCCCAAACCAGCCCAGGCTTCCTGCCCAGGGGCTCAGGGCAGGGGCTGGGCTGGCTGGAAGGAACCAGGTGGACAGAGTGGGTACAGGAAAAAGGATATGCCAGGGCTGGGGCCGGGTGGGGGGTGTGTGTGTGCAAGAGGTGGGCAGGGGCTGGTTTCACAAATGAGACAGGAGATCAGGCCAGAGCTAGAAGCCAGGGATGGTTGAGAAAGCTGAGAAGTAGAGGTTGGACATGTAGTTTAGGGAGAAGCCTCTGGCTGTTGAGGCCTGGAGCAGGTGGCAAGGCCAGGAAGGAGACTATCCCAGGGGTCAGGGAGAAAAATGGTCTGAGTTGGAGGGTAGGAGTAAAGTTGAAGAATAATGGGACGTTAAGGGTGGAGAGAGATGTGAGAGAATGGACAGAATTTGGGGGGTAGTTAGACACAGGTAAGGACATGGGAAACCATGATACCTAGGGGTGCTCAGGGTGAGAAAGGGTAGTGACAAGCCCTCTCGATTTCGACCTCTCTGAGGGGCAGAGCCCAGGGGCACCCAGGAGGTGGGGAGAGGTGGGTGGGGGTGTAGAAAGCAGGTCAGGTCCTCACCAGCCCAATGGCCAGGCTGCGGCATTCCTGCCATCAAGCCAGTCCTGAGCTTCAGCCAGAGGATTGTCAACGGGGAGAATGCAGTGCCCGGCTCTTGGCCCTGGCAGGTGTCCCTGCAGGTACGTGCACCCTGAGCCCTGAGGGTGGGGCAGGGTCCCAGGTGCTTCATGTAGGTTTAGCCTGAGCCCACCCCTACTTCTGACCACTGACCCCAGGACAAAAGTGGCTTCCACTTCTGTGGTGGTTCCCTCATCAGCCAGTCCTGGGTGGTCACTGCTGCCCACTGCAATGTCATGTGAGTACTCCCACTCTACCCGCCCCCTCAGCCCACTTCTCCCCACCTCGTTCCCCTGGATGCCCCTCTTGTCACTCTGCCCTCCCTGTGGCTGCACAACCCCACTCTGACTGCAGCCCTGGCCGCCACGTTGTTGTCCTGGGCGAGTACGACCGATCATCCAATGCTGAGCCTTTGCAGGTTCTGTCCATCTCAAAGGTGAGTGTCTGGGCTACAGACATGGAAAGGAAGAGTGGACAGGGCAGGTGGGTGGGCTCTGGGGATAAGGAATTCAGGGCATGCCCTAGGCTAGCCCCTTCAACAACCATCAACCCTGCGGGGCCTTCGCCCACCACCATCCTATATGGGCCCTTCCTGGTTCCACAGGCCATCACGTACCCTTCCTGGAACCCCACCACCTTAAACAATGACCTGACGCTACTAAAGCTCGCCTCCCCAGCCCGGTACACACAACGCATCTCACCAGTCTGCCTGGCTTCCCCAGATGAGGAGCTGCCTGCAGGCCTCAAGTGTGCCACCACTGGCTGGGGACGCCTCAGCGGCGTGGGTAGGAATTTGGGCCAGAGATCTGGGTAATGTGGCTAAGATGGGAACAAGTCATCCAGGGCCGAACTACCCCCTTCTGGTTCACAGGCAATGTGACCCCAGCACGTCTACAGCAGGTGGCTCTGCCTCTGGTCACCGTGAATGAGTGCAGGCAGTACTGGGGTTCACGTATCACTGATGCCATGATCTGTGCAGGTGGCTCAGGGGCCTCCTCATGCCAGGTGAGCATCGGCACCCTGTCCTGCCCTCTCCACTGCCCTGTGGCACCCCCTAATCACCATGCTGACTTTTCTCCTCTCCCTCCCGCAGGGAGACTCTGGAGGCCCTCTTGTCTGCCAGAAGGGGAACACATGGGTGCTTATTGGCATTGTCTCCTGGGGCACCACCAATTGCAATGTGCGCCAACCTGCCATATACACTCGGGTTAGTAAGTTCAGCACCTGGATCAGCCAGGTCATAGCCTACAACTGAGCCTACCACAGGCCCTCTCCCCATCTCAATCCAATAAAGACTCCATGCTCTGTCCTCTTGTGTATTCTTGTTTGTCCTTTCAAGGGAAAGGAGAGGCTCTCAGGAGCCCTGCTCCCCACTTGGGACTTTGACTTCTGGCATGGCAGGCATTGAGTCAGATTTTCCCAGAGAAGCCATGCCCAGCCCGGGCCCCCACATCTTTCTTCTTCCTAGGCAACCCCCCAGTCCACAGCATGGAGTCTGGGCTGTCAGAATGGATGAGCAGCCTTCCCTGGGGACGGCAGCCTGTTTATTGAGTACAGAGGATACATTTACAAACAGAGTACACAAAATAAATACCTGCACATTCTCCAGCCACGGTCCATGGTATAAAGGCCCAGGTGGGCCTATCAAAGGCCCATGTCTCCAAATGTCCTCTGTCCTACCCTTAGGACCACGCCTATTTTGGACAAGAGAGGAAATGAATGCCCAGGGCTTCAGGCCCCCGAGACACTTGGGGAAATGGGGGGAATTCTGAGGATTTGGCTCTCTGCTGCCTTGTGCCAGGAGCACTTGGGATGGGAGATGTATAAGGCACAACTTGGCCCAGAGTGGTCTCTTTGGCTTTGTTTCTCACTGGAGGTGGCACTTGCAGAAAGACGGGGGCCTGGAGCAAGGCTACCCACTGAGAGAAACAGTGAGGGCCAATCCCTCCCGGCTGGGCCCCAGATCCTTCCCATTCACTAAAAGCAGCTGTGGAGGAAGGGGACTTGGGTTCTAGCCGGTGGAGGGAGACAGGGGAGGTGCCATGACCGACATGGGGATGGTCTGGCTCAGGCCTCTGGGAAAGCAGCCACCCAATTCCACCCACCTCCTGCAGGGAGTCCCTCCAGCCTGAGATTCGGCAGAGCCCAAGCTGGAAGGGTAATGCTGTGAAAGGAAGCAGGGACAGGCTGGACCAGGCAAGGCCAGCTGTGGGAAGGCCAGGGCCCCTAGGCACTCAGGGTTCAGAGGCAGGTCACACAGTATGGCTAAGTTCCAACTGGAGCTGCACAGCAGCTCAGCAGAAGGGGAGGGCTGAGCAGCCTGGGGACCTTTCCTAAATACAGAAGGTCCTTCCTACTTTCTCTAGAGGATGAGGGAGGAGCACAGTGGTCCGTCCTAGGCTGCCCATAACTCATGTCAGACACTAGATGGCGCCTTCATGCCACTGCGAGGAGGGAACAGCAGCGCCTGAAGGGAAGGGGCAACCGGCAGCACCGAGGGTGGAACCGGACAGGGCTGACACTGGAATCTTGATGGGGGTATCCCTGGAAAGCCCCTGGCCTCTGCCTTGGCCCTGGTGCCCCCATTCCCCAGGTAGCAGCAGTGGGGTTCCCTTTAACCCCCACGGTTGGGAAGGAGGCACCTAGGGAATAGAATGGGCATCCAAGGGGGAGAGAGAGGTGATAGTGGGCTCTGTAAAGAAGGCACTGAAAACAGAGGCCTGGTAGGCAGGAGGTCTCTCATTGGCAGAGAGAGAGGTTGGAGCCTGGAGCAAGCCTGCTACTAACATGGCCAACATAGTCCAGAAGGGCCAAGGACCATGCCATTGCCCTACCACCAGAGGTTCTAGCCAGTCCTGGGGCTAGGAGGGGTCCCTGGCGGCACCATGAAGGGACAAAGACCTTGGGTGAGAGGTGGGAGACTTTAGACTTAGCCAGGGGCTGAGAGTCCAGCCAAGGCACAAGCTTTGTGCTTCCTAGGCCTCTCACTGGGGCACAGATCAGGATGCAATGGAATGTGGGGAGGCCAGAGAAGGTTCAGTTAAGAGGCTTTCAGAAGTAACTGTCCCAAAGAGTCCTGGGACCATAGGATGCCCTCCGCCTGGCACGACATACCCCCTTGGTCTCGGGGAAGAGTCAAGGGGTGAGGGAGCCTGAAGGCCAGATCCTGCCCCTTCCCCAACTTGTAGCAGAGCAGTTGCCCAGGAGCACTGGTGCCAGGCCAGGCTTCCAGTTCACAGGGCTCACAGCCCCCTGGGCTCCCTTCACTCTGTCACACCAGACTCAGGCCCAGGATGAGGATAGGGGCTGCTGAAGGCACAGGGAAGGGGCTGGGGCCAGTCACCTGCCACTGGCCATCCAGGCCTATCTCTAGAGGGGGTGTCGGGCCCAAAGGGCACAGCAGTGCATGGCCAAGCTGGGACCATGGCACGTCTGCACTGCAGCCAGGTGGCTCAGCCATTGTACTGCTGCTGGTAGCGCAGGTTGAGCTCCCGCAGTTCCCTCTCCCGTACACGGCGCGACTTGTTGGAGCGTGTGGAGCGGCTGGAACGTGTGGACTGGGCTGATTTGGTGCTTTGACAGCGTGAGGAAGCACGTTTGAGGAGGTTCTGGGAGATGGAGCGGTGCAGATTCTTCATGGATGAAGAGGCTGCCATGCTCACCACCCATGGGTGCCTCAGGGCCTGCAGTGCAGTCATACGGGCGCCGGGGTCCACCGTCAGCAGGCGGTCAATGAAGTCCTTGGCCAGGTTGGACACACTGGGCCAGGGCTAGAGGCCAAGGACAAGCATTAGCACGAGAGCACTGAACACGGCTCTCCCCATGCTGACGATGCCACCACCACAGCACTTAGAACTGTCCAGCATCCCTGCACTCTCCCCTCGAGAAAAGCAATGCCCGTCTCCTCCCAAGTACAGTCTTCTGGGCCTCCCCCACCCACCCAGCGCTGGGCCAGGCCATGAAGCAGAGGCTCTTCTCTGAGTAAGGAGTCCATCTGAAAGCACAAGGACTGTACCTCTTCCCAAGCAGCAAACTTCTAAGGAGACCTGGACTCAAAGCCTGGCTCAGGAAGGTGGCTCCTGTCAAGAAGCCCCACCTGGCTGAATCCTTAGGTTCCCGGGGTAAAGGACGCTTCCTCAGAATTCCTCTTAGCCCCCAGAGCTAAGCGTTATTTCAGTGATCTCAGGTTCAGTGCTTGCTCCCATTAGACCATAGTGCTCTGGGTGAGCCCCCGTGCCTGGTGCCAGGCACACAGCGGCCCCGGAGCCCCGAGGAGGGCAGACGGTCCCGAATTCCCTGCATCTTCTGAGGCACTCTGGCATGGGCTCTGACCCTCCCAAGGGGTGGGCAGCTACGGCCTTTGCTGAGCCTACTGCAGAAGGTTCGGGTGGGATGTCAAGGGACCCCCATGCTTCTTTCTGACCAGTGAGGTCCGCCTGTTCCACCTAAGGGTGCTCTTCGCCCTGGGGTACCCTTGAACTCACTGTCTAGGGGGGTTCAGGAAGCCGCAGAGCCCACATTTGGGGCTGCTGCATGCCTATCTAGCAGATCCATATAACACTGACTATGGTTACCCTCACTTCAGCTTCCTTGACCTCCAATTCTTCCCCAAGGCTCTTCCCCACTTATATGGGGGGGGGGCAAGGAGAACACTCTTCTGGAATCCTGAAGAAGGGGCGGGGCTACTTGCAGTTGCTACCCTAACCTGCTTTACAAAAGGCAAATCCCAACTTGTACTAAACAGAACTGGTAGAAAACAACAGGCCACATTCCCAAACAGCCACCTAATGGTCCTCCTCACTAACGGGCCTGCTTCCAGTGACTCCTGGGGAGATAACGGCCCTCAGGACGCACAGCCAGGGAAGCCCAGAACACCTTGCTAAGAGCACTGAGGGGGCACAGAGTGGCAGACAGCGCTCCCCCGTACAGAGCCCGGTCCTAGTTTCCCTGCAGGCCTGCACAGCTCGGGCTCCCGTAGTGAGGCTGACATATGCGTGAACGGACTGGGTACCACAGTAGGTTTTGGCTCACAGTTCAAGAAAGCTTCAGTACTGGAGAAAGCAGCTTGCTGCTGCCACCTGAACACAAGAAGCCACCAGGAAGGGTCAGCCAGTCTAAACCACAGATACTGCAGCCCCTTTCACTCACTGAAGACCTGGAAGGAAGCAGGCCTGATAGGCCCACTGATGGACACAGTAAAACCTAGGAGCTAAGCAGGCTGGGGCACAGGAATATTCACACTGCCTGACTGGCTTTTCTGGGCTCCACGAAAAAGGGAAGTCACTGGGAAACACAGTGCAGGTGGCACAGCCTGAAGACAGAGCTGGCAGGCCAGGCGAGCCAAACAGCTGACACACGGATTCTGCGCTTACCCCTTGGTCCAGCCAAGATAGAGGAGGGGTCACTCCTCTGCAGACCACAGAATAGAAAGAGTGGCAAAGCTGGACTCAGAAGCCAGGAACCTAAACATGGATGGATCAGAGGTACCTCCCCACTTCACATCCACACCCAGTCAAAGACCCCTGCAGCTCCAGACTAGTCCACTGTGGTCTTTGGTGGGCCTCTCACCAGACCCATCCTGGGGGCGTAAGCACTTCCATCTCCAGAGTGGCACAGGCTCACACCGGGCATCGACCCCTGCTGTTCCCCGAGCGGCCAGCCTGTTAGTGACAAACTGAGCCAGACTGATCTGCGCCTCCTGCTCCCCCCGAGATGCCTGCCTCTCCGATTACTGTGTACACACAGCTGTGTGCACAATGCCGATGAACTCATCTAAGGGCCAAGCCAGCCCTCTCCGGCAGGCCCTCGCCTTCCTCATTTTTGAAGAGCTGTGAACAGCTGGGCCAGGTGGGTCCCCCAAGCCAACGTGACTTGAGCCATCCTGACTTGAGAATCATGCTATGCCAATGGCACCCAGCCTAACCCTCACACACTGAGCAGCAGGAAGTCAGGCGGGCCAAATCCAGGAAAGTGTCCTCAACCTAGCCCACTGACAGCGAGACAGGGGCTCAGGCGGCCTGTCTGAACAGTGGCCCCTGGGAGCCCCGCCAAGTCCTCCAACAGCACTCAGCAAGGAAAAGTAAGGCTTTCCACACTCACTCAGGGTCATGTCCAATTTAGTACCTCCTAGGAAAATATTCAACACCCACAGACCAACCCATCCGCCTCCCCAACACGCTTGGGCCTCTGGAGCCCCATGAGTATGTCTGTCAGCCTATGACTGACTGGCTGGGTAGCATTCTGGGTGAGACAAAGAATGATAAACAGTCATGCCTTTCCATTTCCATAGCTCGAGCTGCTGGCTCTGGG